TGGCTCGAGGCAACTCAAGGTGCATGAACATAATTATCCCACACACGACTTGGAGCTGGCTGCGGTGGTGTTTGCTCTTAAGTTGTGGAGATGTTATTTATATGGGGAGAAGTTCAAGTGTTCTCAGACCATAAAAGCCTCAAGTATATCTTCACACAGAAATACTTGAATCTCCGACAGAGAAGGTGAATTGAGTACTTGGAAGATTATGAGTTCACGCTCAACTACCATCCGGGGAAGGCCAATGTAGTTGCCGACGCTCTTAGCAGGAAGTCGCGGGGTGAAATCAATTTTCTTGCGGTAAATAGGTGGAAAATGATTGATGCATTGGAGGAGTATGATCTATGGGTGGATGGATCGGAGTATCAACCATATCTATTCAACCTTGTAGCTCAACTGATGCTTCAGCGACGGATAGTAGAGTTGCAATGCCTAGATTCGAAACTCGATTAGATTAGAGCCCGATTGGAGAATGGAGAAGCTATTGAAGGATGGTCTTGGAAGAATGGAGAGTTGAGATATGGGGAGAAGCTATGTGTTCTCGATGATTCGTACCTAAAGGAGGAGATACTAGGAGAGTGTTATTGCTCTTAGTTTGCTATCCACCCCAGAAGCACAAAGATGTATAGGGACATGAGCGTCAATACTGGTGGAGGGGAATGAGGCGAGATGTGGCCAAGTATGTGGCAAAATGTGTGGTGTGCCAGCAGGTGAAGATTGAGCATCAAAGGTCAGGAGGAGTCCTACAGTCTTTACCTATTCTAGAGTGAAAGTGGGATCACATCACCATGGACTTCGTGTCGAGTTTACCACAGATGTTGCGCGGCTATAATGCAGTATGGGTCATTGTGGATAGACTCACCAAGTCTGCTCACTTTTTGGGTATGAAGACCACAGATACATTCGAGACTTTGAACCAGCTGTATATCCGTGAGATAGTGAGGTTACACGGCGTTCCGCTCTCGATTGTGTCGGATCGTAACTCTAGGTTTGTGGCGAGATTCTGACAGAGTCTACAAAAAGCGATGGGGATGGAGTTACACTTCAGTACGGTTTTTCATCCCCAAACGGATGACCAATTCGAGAGGGTGATACAGATTGTGGAGGATATTTTACGCGCTTGCGCGTTGGAATTCAAGGGGAGTTGGAGCGACCTCTTACCGTTGGTGGAGTTTGCTTACAACAACAGCTATCAGGAAAGTATTGGGATGGCACCATATGAAGCATTGTATGGAAGACCATGCCGATCACCGAAGTGTTGGTTAGAAGCCGGTGAGAGTAGTTTGTTTGGACCGAACATTGTTCAAAAAACTACGGAGAAGATTCAACTCATCTGAGAGAGGCTACGAACGACGCAAAGTAGACAAAAGAGCTATGCGGACCACAGACGAAGACTCTTAGAATTCAAGGTGGGAGACTACGTATTTCTCAAGGTGTCACCCAAGAAGGGCGTGTTTCGATTCGGCAAGAAGGGGAAGTTAGCGCCAAAATATACCGGACCGTTTGAGGTAATCAAAGCGATAGGCAATGTGGCATATCAACTTCGATTACCAGCCAAGCTATCTGGAGTACATGATGTGTTCCACGTGTCCATGTTGAGAAGGTGTCACTCGGATGCAACTCTAGTCGTGAACTTGGAGGATATTGAAATTTAAGACGGAGCAACCTACAAAGAAAAACCGGTAGAAATTCTCGACACCCAGGAAAAATTGCTTCGCAACAAAGTTATCAGATTGGTGAAGGTTTTGTGGCAACACCATGGAGTGGAGGAAGCTACATTGGAACCGGAGCAAGAAATGCGGGAGAAGTATCCATATTTGTTCGCTACTTGAGGTAAGTTTCGAGGACGAAACTTTCTTTAAGGGGGGTGGATTGTAATACCCCGCATTTTCTTTTATATATGTATATAGATATATAGTAAATAATTGTAGTAAAAATGTGGATATGTGTAGTGATGTGTGTTTGAATTTGGTAGATTGGAAAAGTAGATATTTAAAATGTTAGTGGAAATAATAGTTGAAATTTGATTTTAATAAGTGAAAATATTAAATTTTAGTTCCTAGAACTTGTATTAAATAGATTTGGTGTATAAATATGTGTTGGAGAGTTTGGGATGCATTTGGTTGGCTTATGAATGGATTGGAAATAGAAAAGAGATAAAACATGACATGAACAGTGCACATGAAATGTACACTGGCTGCAACTTCAAGTGCGATTTTGACCTTGAGGCAGTCCATATATATGAAAACTCAAAACATGAAAGTTTTAGAGCTCTTTCTTAGAATTCCATACCATCTTGAATCATTTCAATCGGAGTTCGGATGAGAGAGTTATGCCCAGATAACGAAGTGATGTCAAAACAGCCCAATTAGCTTAAACAGTGCACTGGCTGCAACTTCAAGCCCAATTTAGACCTTGATGCAATCAATGTCTCTCAAAACTCAAAACATGAAAGTTTTATATCTCTTTCCTATCATTCCATATAATCTTGAATCATCTCAATCGGAGCTCGGATGAGAGAGTTATGCCCAGATAACGAAGTGATGTCAAAACAGTCCAATTAACTTCGTTTTGCATTTAACGTCTGCATTTGCATCCTAAATCAAACTATAAGAATAATGAGTACATTTAGACTTCAAATAAGTATAAAAGGCTTTAAGAAGCACCCTTTATCACCTTTTATTTGCAAACAATGCAAAATTTCATTAATAGCCGGTTCGAATGGGTAAAATAGAAACTTTAGTGTTTTGGGTGTACGTTAACTTTGGTTTTGAGATAAATCATAAACATAAATGTTTTTATGTTAAAATAATATTAAAAATGAATCCAGAACTTCAAAAAACCTTAGAGTAGTCATATAGATCAAATTGGAGATTCTTAGTGGCAAAACCATAATTTTGGAGAAAATCAAAACAGGCTGTGAACAGTGACTTTCAGGGCTGAGGTGTTTTAAACCCCATTTTCATCCCATTTTCCCTCATTTCTTCACTCCACTCTCACTCCACACCTCTTGGAACCCTATAGATCATTAGAGAGGAAGAAAGGAAAGAGATTTAAGGGTAGATTCAAGATCAAAGCTCAAGTTCTTCCTACAAACGAAGGATTCAAGGTAGGGGTTTTCTCTCATTCACTTACATTGAGGCTAGGGTATTTATATATGTATGTTTTGGCTATCAATGATATATATATATATATATATATGCTATGGAATCGTCATCTCTTAGGTTTTTTGCAAGGATTACATGTTTTGAACAAAGTAGGGTTTAATACCCATAAAATTGTCTTTCTAGTTTTAAAATCCTAATTTTTGGAGAGTGATGTATTTCCTTCTTAAATGCTTTCTTTATTATGGATTTTGAAACCTTAGTGCTTTGTGTTGGGTAGAAAAATGATATTATTGTGATCTCATGTATTTTTTAGTTGGTTGTGGAATTGTTACATGATATATTTTGGGGATTTTGGATAGATGCTTGTAAATTGAGATAAATGTTGAAATTGTATACTTGGTTGAGTTGTTTGTGATGCACATGAGTGAGAGGTTCCTTGTAAGGATGCTCACCCCTTCCCAAGAGGTTCTCGGTAAGGATGCTTGAAAAACAATGTAGTGATTGGGGAGAGGTTCCATGTAAGGATGCTCATCTATTCTCAAGAGGTTCTCGGTAAGGATACTTGAGAATCAAATGTGACCTAAAGGGGGGTGGAGGTTACCACAAAGTATGCCACCTACTGAAAAAAATTGTTGAGAATTGGTTATGACAATGAATGGTTATTATTTGTATGTGGTGCTCATTTATTCATTTAAGTAATATTTTTAAATAAACTTGAGATCATTTTTAAATGTTACTGCTTTATTTCGAATTATGTATCTATGTTATGTTAAAAATTGAGACCGACCATTTTAAATGCTTTTCTAAATCTTGTATGGGTTTGAGAGAATTTTTTTACAGAGCTTCGTACGCATCCCCTATCGCTAACATTTTTCAGATTACCCGCTTAAGGAGGAGGACGTAAGGGTCGAAGAGCCCGCTACTTGGGAGACTCCATTGGACGGGAGTGTGGTTCCTGAGGTGAATGCATAGAGCTACCTCTTTTCCTTTTGTACTAGACTAGAATATTCTTTTGGAACATTGTGTAGTCTAGCTTCTTTTGTTTATTCCGTTGCGCTTCTTTAATTAATTTTCGAGATGTAATAGCCATGACTTGAGCTTATTCTTTTGGATAATGTTGTAAATATTTGTAGATGACAAATGAAGTCTTGTTTCTTAAGGGATTATATTAGTGCTCTCATGATATGAATGGTTTTAGAATGTAATGTCGTCCAGGGTGTGTTTTGGGGTGTTACACATTCATAGCTAATTAAAGCAGATGTCATGCATAGTGTTTTGAACAAACGATTGTGAGCATATGGACAAATTATATTAACAAAAACATATTGTAAAATTCATCATCTAAGTTGGTTGATGAGCTTAGTAAGTCATCACTTGAGTGGCGAGTTGTATTTTCAATTGTAACTACTAACATAACACAAACTCACTTTTACAATGCATAAATACCACAACAATAATAACAACAAATACCATTAAAAGGATTGTTGGAAAAATAAAGGGTGAAGTCACTTGGAATAATTGATAGGGGCTGCTACATACATCAATTGGAATAAAGCAAAACACATTCACGAAAGAGAATCAATACATTAACTACTTTAAATGATAGACATTTTCCAACAATATGCTTGTAACATATTCAAGACCCACAAAATTAAACATGCTACAAGTACCACATCATACCACAATACTAATAATATTGTTCTATAATAGTAAGTCATATGGTAGAAACACACATAAACAGTTAAGTCAACTGTGGACATCCATGCCCAAATAGTTTCATACATAACTAAGCAAAAGAAATGACACTTAATCTAGTGTGTCAAGCCACTCCCTCCTACAGAGTGCAGGCATCTGAAGAAACATTTCATGCCACTTAGGGTCCTTGAACTTTGCTCAAGCACAAAAATATTGTTGGCATCCAACATCCTCCATACCCTCTAACACATCCATGCAAGTGTCAATACTGTAAGCGTCATTCACCATGTCGTTCTGACAATTATGCTTGTATTTTTCTGTCCTAGCCAATGAGAACGCAGCCCATGCATCAATAGCATTGCCCATCTTAGAACTCTTACTCCCCCTCTTTTGTCTTGAACTACTTGCAATCTTTTTAGGTGGTGGGTGAAATGAGCCTTTAAGATCATCATTAAGAGTTGTAGATGATCTTTTTTGACCATTTATGAACTCCTCCTCCAACTCTATCTCGTCATCACAATTCGATGGGACTTGGGTAGAATCACGGGCTAAAATGACTGTGGCTATCGATTTTCCAAAGATAAGTTCCAATAAGTTGAAGTAGTCACACCTTTTCTTGCAAAAAGCTTTCACCTGTGGATTCACTTAACAAAAAAAAATAAAAAAAAATATTAACATCAAGGCTAGTAATAACTAACTAGCCTAACAAATTATATACGATTATGTTAAACTATGCATACCACAATATATCGTGCCTAGACATCTTCCTTAACCGTCACTGTTGGTTTCTGGGTCCCAACCAAAATTAGTAGTGGTAAGGGGTTTTTTGAAAGTCCGATATTTATTCTCAACCTATTGTACTTTCCCTTAAGTTTAGGAATAGTGTAAGTACGACCCATTTTTTTGGTCATCACAGTCGCCAATTTATTCCAAGTCTTTCCATTGATGTTCGTACAATTTGGGCTCTCCTTCTCTGCCTCAATGACCAAGAGTTTAATAAATAACTCCTCAGCCCTCGGTGGTCAAGTGGCCATTTTGTGAAAGTCATTACCTTGGGATGACATCAAAGAAAATATACATCATACATTAATTAATCATGTATAAAATGAATTATGTGCATATAGCTGTAGCATAAATCATAGATAACTCATACATTAAATAAATGCAAATCATACAACTAAGGCATTCCAAAACAACATAAGTACCATTATTGCTTTTACATTCCACATTGCTCTCATTTTGGAGGGCGACAAGATACCTGCTCAGATGATACGCCTGACAAATCAATGAGGTCGTTTTCGCTAATTGAGGATTTGTTAAGGGTTGAAGCATTCTGTTGAACAACCAACTGCTTGATGTGCACAACTTCATATTGAACACCCAGAATTGCTCCTCCACAGCCATTCGGTGCGTTATTGCAAGCCAAATCTGTTGTATTTAGTAAATACAAGTGACAACAACCTAGAAAATAAACAGTTATAAACCCATGTAATGAAAGCAAAATCCAACAAAATCACATGCCTACCAATAAATTGATTTCACATGCCAATAAACCACAACCACTTCTTCAAGCATCAAACGAAAATCAAGGAAATGTAAAATACAACCTACCAAAATATATAGTACAAGAAAATAAAATATACAGGCCTAAGTTCTCATCTACATTTTTGTAGGAAAAATGTATACAGGAGTTAAGATTATTGGTGTTAAGAATGTGGTTCAAATGTTTGCATTTGGAAAAAAAGTCGAAAATAAAATAAATAGGCCTAAGTTCTCATCTACATTTTTGTAGGAAAAATGTATACAGTAGTTAAGATTATTGGTGCTAAGAGTGTCGTTCAAATGGTCACATTTGGGAAAAAAATTGAAAATAAAATAAAATCAAGGAAAAAAAAATGGGTATGGCAATTGTTGCTTAGCCACGATGTTGCCCCATTTTGAAACACTGTTCACACCACATATATTACTCAAAACAAGGCATTCAAGTGGAAAAAAAATTTGTGGTTGGAGACAGTTATTAGGACAAAATTAAACCAGCATACATATATACATAAGTAGTTTATTAAAAATAAACAATGGAATGATGATCAAGAAAGATCAGTTGCCCAACCAAAACCCGAAGTTCGATCAGGTCCCAAAAATCAAAAATAAATTCAAGGCAAAAAAAAAAAAAAATCAAATCTAGGAAATCTATGACTTACCTGAGTCATCAGAACATAGACTTCGGTTCACCGGAGTTGTTAGACAATAGATCTGCTATAGATCTAAAGGTAAAAAGGAAAAATAAAAACAAATCTAAAAAAGACAAATCCATAAAAAATAATTGTGACTTCAATACGCCAGCACTATTAGACTACAGATTTGTTATAGATCTAAAGGTAAAAATAAAAAATGAAAACAAATATAAAAAAGACAAACCCATAAAAAATCAAGGCAAAAAATGCGAAAAAAAGAACAAATCTATGGTCTACCTGAGTCTCCGGAGCTGTGCTGATGATTCACCGAAAGATCTTGCAAGTTCAGTGCACGACTATGTTGGCCAGGGAGACTAGCATAAGAGAGAAAGTCTGGGCAAATGTTGGGGATGGGGAAAAAAGGGCCACCTTTTATACTTAGTGCAATAAGTGCACAATAATGAACAGGGCCTTGCCCTCTCTGTTTTCAAAATTTTCAGCATAAAACTCTGAAAGCAAGTGTGGCTTGTTTTCTATTTTTTTCTCCAATTCTCACTTTTTTTTTCCCGAGAATTTGAGAACAAAAACTCTAACCATATGTGTTTTCATTGTTTTAAGGTTTTGAGAACAAAAAATAGTTTTGAAGATTCAAACCAAACACAACTTTACTTCTTTTCTTTGAGAGTAATCAAGTACTAGGGTACATGGCTAAACACATGACGTTGTTGACAAAAAAGCTAGGGTCTATGGGGTACTTGAGCAAATTGAGGGACTAATTCTTTTTGATGGAATAAGAGCTAGACAGATGATTGTGAATGATAAAAAAAAGTCAACTACTTCTTCAGTTTGCTCGATACTACGAAGCCATATTGGTTGCAAATGCTTCTTGGTGGTAAACTTTAAAGTGAGAAGATTTTCACTTTGGTAGAGAGTTCATGCCATTTTCTAGTTTTAGTAATAAATAAGTTGACTTAACATGGGCTTTAATGTGACTTTTAAATTTGTTTTAGTTTTTATGTGGATTTGTAATGGTTTTGACAATGGTTCACATGAATGCATTGATTCGAATAAAGTTTTATTTTTTTTTGATTGATGGTATTTTTATTGATATTATTGTCAATTAATTAAACTGTAATTAACTCAATGAAATTTTTTAACTTAATGAAATTTTTTTGTAAGTATAAAATGAATAAACTTGATCTTTTTGGTAATGGGATAAATCTCGATCATATTTCTGGTTAACGATGATGGAATTTGGAGAGGATCATGATATCATTCATGTTGTTGGTACTACCAAACACTATAATTGATTGAGGATATTTTTGTTAATTTAATATTAATATGATGAAATAATTCTCTAACCAAACAACGGATTGAACTAAATAACTACTGTCCAATGCTTATATTGTGTATGTCAAACACTAGATAAAATTACGTATTATTATAATACCCCATTTAGTCTTGTCTTTTATTCATATGTATTATATTAGCCTGTATTACTTTATCCATTTTTAATACAGTAGCCAAACGAGCCCTTAAAATATTCATGGATAGAACTAGCATCATGTCTCCATTATTTAAAAGGATATTGAATGTCACACCTTACGTCGGATAATAGTATATAATATCTATTTCAGAAGAGTGGACTTCATACAATAACCAATAATATGTTATCCAAGCATTATATTTAATAAATCCGTAATGCAACATCAACCAGACATTTTCACATATATGCATAATCATGTACACAAGGTTAAATTCACACATCCAAATAAAATCTCTGCTAAACCCCAGGTCAAAATAGTTAAACTTGATATTTAACAGCTATACAAATTCACATGTTTACACATTTACAAGTGTTATAACATGACCCAACTTCATATTTCTTGACCCTCAAGATTCAATAGTTAACCCCCTTTTTCTCCCATTTTCTTGAAACTACAAACTTTTGGGGGAGGGAAGAGGTGAGTTGTAACACCCTGTATTTTTTTTTATATACGTATATAGATATATAGTAAATAATTGTGGTAAAAATGTGGATATGTGTAGTGATGTGTGTTTGAATTTGGTAGATTGAAAAAGTAGAGATTTCAAATGTTAGTGGAAATAATAGTTAAAATTTGGTTTTAATAAATGAAAATATGAAATTTTAGGTCCTAAAACTTGTATTAAATAGGTTTGGTGTAGAAATATGTGTTGGAGTGGTTTGAGATGAATTTGGTTGGCTTAGGAATGGATGAAACAACACGTGAACAGTGCACTAGTTGCAACTTCAAGCGCGATTTCGACCTTCATGCAGTCAATATCTCTCAAAACTTAAAACATGAAAGTTTTAGAGCTCTTCCCTATCATTCCATATCATCTTGAATCATCTCAATCGGAGCTTGGATGAGAGAGTTATGCCCAGATAACGAAGTGAGGTCAAAACAGCCCAATTAGCTTGAACAGTGCACTGGCTGCAACTTCAAGTCCGATTTAGGCCTTGATGCAGTCAATATCTCTCCAAAATCAAAACACTAAAGTTTTAGATCTATTTCTTATCATTCCACAGCATCTTGAATCATCTCAATCGAAGCTCGGATGAGAGAGTTATGCCCAGATAACGAAGCGATGTCAAAATAGTCCAATTAGCTTCGTTTTGCATTTAACGTCTCCATTTGCATCCTAAATCAAAATATAAGAATAATGAGTACATTTAGGCTTCAAATAAGTATAAAAGGCTTTAAGAAGCACCCTTTATCACTTTTTATTTACAAACAACACAAAACTTCATTAATAGCTGGTTCGGATGGGTAAAATAGAAACTTTAGTGTTTCGGGTGTACGTTGACTTTGGTTTTGAGATAAATCATAACATAAACATAATTTTTTTAAAGTTAAAATAACATTAAAAATGAATCCGGAACGTCGAAAAATCTTAGGGTAGTCATATGGATCAAATTGGAGATTCTTAGTGGCAAAATCGTAATTTTGGAGAAAACCAAAACAAATTGTGAACAGTGAATTTCAGGGCTGAGGTGTTTTAAACCCCATTTTCCCTCATTTCTTTCACTCCACTCTCACCCCCACACCTCTCGGAACCCTAGAGATCATTAGAGAGGAAGAAAGGAAAGGAAAGGAAACACAAGAGATTTAAGGGTAGATTCAAGATCAAAGCTCAAGTTCTTCTTACAAACTAAGGATTCAAGGTAGGAGTTTTCTCTCATTCACTTACATTGATGCTAGGGTATTTATATATGTATGTTTTAACTATCAATGATATATATATATATATATATATATATATATATATATATATATATATATATATATATATATATATATATATATGCTATGAATTCATTCTCTCTTAGCCTTTTTGCAAGGATTACATGTTTTGAACAAAGTAGGGTTTAATACCCATGAAATCTACTTTCTAGTTTTAAAACCCTAATTTTTGGAGAGTAATATATTTCCTTCCTAAATGCTTTCTTTATTATGGATTTCGAAACCTTAGTGTTTTGTGTTGGGTAAAGAAATGATGTTATTGTGATTTCATGTATTTCTTAGTTGTTTGTGGAATTTGTTACATAATATATTTTGGGGATTTTGGATAGATGCTTGTAAATTGAGATAAATGTTGGAATTGTATGCTTGGTTGGGTTGTTTGTGATGCACATGAGTGAGAGGTTCCTTGTAAGGATGCTCACCCCTTCCCAAGAGGTTCCCTGTATGGATGCTTGAAAAACAATGTAGTGATTGGGGAGAAATTCCATGTAAGGATACTCATCCATTCTAAAGAGGTTCCCGGTAAGGATGCTTGAGAATCAAATGTGACCTAAAGGGGGGTGGAGGTTACCACAAAGTATGCCACCTACCGAAAAAAATTATTAGGAATTGGTTATGGCAATGAATGGTTATTAGTTGTATGTGGTGCTCGTTTATTCATTTAAGTAATATTTTTAAATAAACTTGAGATCATTTTTAATTGTCACTGCTTTATTTCAAATTTTGTATCTATGTTATGTTAAAAATTGAGACCGACCATTTTAAATGATTTTCTAAACCTTGTATGAGTTTGAGAGAATTTTTTTACAGAGCTTCGTGCTCATCTCTTTTCACTAACATTTTTCAGATTACCCGCTTGAGAACGAGGACGTAAGGGTCGAGGAGCCCGCTACTTGAGAGACTCCACTGGACGGGAGTGTGGATCCTGAGGTGGATGCATAGAGCAACCTCCTTTCCTTTTGTACTAGACTAGAACATTCTTTTGGAACATTGTGTCGTTTAACTGCTTTTATTTATTCCACTGCGCTTCTTTAATTAATTTTTAAGATGTAATAGCCATAACTTAGGCTTATTCTTTTGGATAATGTTAGAAATATTCGTGGATGACAAATGAAGTCTTGTTTCTTAAGTGATTATATTAGTACTCTCATGATATGAATGGTTTTAGAATGTAATGTCGTCCAGGGTGTGTTTTGGGGTGTTACATGAGCACAACACGCTCAATGAATGTACTTCTTTATTAAACTAATAATAACAAAAACATACTTCACGCACTAGCACGGTATCATTCGTATATCAAACATTATATCTATGTAGATATTAACATGGACCCCTTAACAACATTCTATAGGTATCATTAGACAAACATTCACTAGCTATCTCTTGCACAACTTCCACATATTTATACATACTCGCCACTAAGACCACAACTTAGCCATTTAAGTTATATCTACAATATAGGCATATTTCACCACTAAAGCACAATAATGTCACTAAGGCCACACATTCGCCACTAAGACCAGACAATTGCCCTTTTTTGGGCTATACTAGCCAATAGACTCTTTAACATCAATAAGAATTTTTGCCTTCACATAACCATTATCAATCAATAACCCACTTACTCATTTAACACCAATAATTTGGTACTAGCCATAAAGGCTAAATTCACCAATCTTCAAAGTCATATACTATCTTTAGATCAAAAGTCAGCATGCACACATCAATTACACATAGGAATATCTTAGCCATTATCAATCACATGAAAAAGCATACTCACCTCAAGTCCATTAATATGACAATGTAGTCCCTAGACGAGATTTTAGGCTTACTCGACATAGATGTCGATGTCTTATCTCCTAGCACATTTCATAATAAATCAGGAATAAGTATCCTAATATACTCATTTAATATTAACCATGCATGTATGAATACATACTCATGCTCATGTCAACATATTTTCAAATTCTTCCCCAAGTGGTGTA